GCTGAACATTCACAATTTTTCTCTTAATCCCAACACTTAAATTCTGGTCTTTTGGTTTAGAGAGAATGAAAAGACTCCAGGTACTGCCTCTGGCTTTATAGCTCTAGGCACACTCTCTTAGGGTACGAGTCTTAAATCCAGCATTCGTTTTGTTAATGTTGACAGAATAAGTCAGTCCAAAGAATCATAGGTGTTGACATAAGACAGTTACTGCAGAACACAAAAGAGGTAAATTTGATTTGAGGTCTTCAAGGCAAACCCCACAGCTTGCTCAGTCCCATGGCAACCATAATCACTGTAAAATGTGTTTAACCTTTTGTTAAAGATACAGGAACAAGAAGGGAGAAACAGTTAAAGTATTTGGAATGTAAAACATTAAGTAAGGGAAAGGATTATACAAGTGGGAGGGATCTCCCAGATCAGTTAATCCCATCCCCTGCTTTTATAAATTGATCAAGCTCTTTGAAAAACCAATCAAGTATAAACAAGCCCTTCCTATATCTCTATTATTTTGGAATCTGCATTTTACAGTTTTCCCTTTCAAAGAACATGATAGCAAGAATAAATTGACATGGATTTTGAATGCATTCCCTAACCCAGGATCTCTCTACTTTGCACAGAATAAAATATAAACAGATCTAGGAAGCATATCCTCCTCAGTTTTCTCATCATTCTTGGCTCAGTGTCCTTTTAGGGTTCCAGGACTTAATTCTTTTAGGACAAATTTTGCTTTAATTTTTAAATTCTGCTTCCTTCATTTCTTGACTAGTCAAAAGAGTTCCTGATTGCTATGGAAACCAGTCCATTGATTGCTTCCCCATGTGTGCCCTTCTGCACTATTTAATGCTCCCACTAATTCTGGTTTCTCCTTTTAGGTAAGATTAATTGTTCCAAATGCTTGCTGTGCAGATGAACTTGGTCAAAATGATTTTCCTAGATGTCAGTCATCCTATTGTTCTAGAGAGTTATTCATGTAAATTACTCTTAAGTGTCCCTAAAGTAGAAGAGATCTGATATTAACCTATAGTACATTAGGCATTAACCTATTTCTAACACCACGTCCACTGAGCCATTAATTGCTACAGCAATTTCATAAAATCATACAGGATTCATAAGTTGTACAGAGACCAAGCCTCCAAATTAAACACAACAGAAAAAAAAGGATGTATTTTCTTGGTTCAGGAGAACAGAGTTAGCGTTAGAAGACCTGAATTCTTCTTTCTCCATTCCTAGAGCCTTGTAACTCTGCCCTCAAGTTTAGTACAAATCATGGACAGATCTAGATTTTTGCAAAATGGGGTGCAGATGGTGAGGTATATAATTACATGTTTTTCTCCTGTTAAAAATAAACTAAAAGTTTTGCTAATATATTAGAGGTTTGGGCCTGGATTATTCAGTTTAAGACTGAAACAAAAACAAATTACTTTATCATAATGAATTAAAAACACATTGCAAGGCTGTGAAATAGAATCCTTATTACCAGCTAAAATGCAGCAGAATTGCGGAAGAAAGGCTAGGTGGATTTGTGGAACATCAAGACCATAAAAAAGAAGAGAGGGTCATTAATACCTGTGCAATGAAGAACTGAGATGGGATCAGGTAGATTATGTGAGGCATGAAGTCAATTGATCTTCTCAGCACTGCCTGCCTAGAAAAGCTGCTGTCCCTTCTGGGGAGTTGGTTTTAAATTTTGGGTGGGTCTTTCATCAGTGACCTGGAAGATGGGAAGGAATGCACCCTCAGCAAGTGCAGGGGTGGCAGTGGGGGGGAGAGGAGGGTGGAGATGGTAGTAGATATGCTGAAGGATAGGGTTAGGATTCCTCAACAATTTACAGGACTGGACCAAAACAAATCCCATGAGGTTCAGTAATGAGAAGTGCAAAGTCCTGCACAGGCTGGGGACCAACTGGCTCTGCAGAAAAGGACCTGGGGCTTACAGAGTACAATAAAATGAATGTGAGCCAACAATGCCTCCTTGTTGCCAAGAAGGCTAAAAGCATACTGGACTGCATTAGTAAGAGCATTGCCAGCAGATCAAGGGATATGGTTATTGCCTTCTATTCAGTACTGGTGAGGCCGCATCTGGAGTACTGTATCCAATTTTGGGCCCCCCACTACAGAAAAGATGTGACAAAATTGGAGAAAGCCCAACAGAGAGAAACAAAAATACTTAAGGAGTTGGGGCACATGACATGAACAGGGGTTCTGGTTTTCTCTGATTAAAAAAAAAATATCCCCAATGTTTGGATTA